GCAACCCCATTCCTGCAGAACCTCATCCAACCGTCAATACTTGTACTGGAACTGTCTCTATCTCCCCAGCAAACTGCCCTATTTATAACAAAAATTGGTCAGACTGTGGAGAAGACTTAATCACCTGCTTCACAGATTATGATGTGATATCAGTACAGTGCTACTCCATTCCTCCTGAAGGTCATTGTGCCAAAATTAATTTCTATAGACATGACCTTCCCTTTAATGTTTACATAGGTGGAGAATCCCTCCCTCTCTGACTATATCAACCTCTTCTCCATCAATGTCAAAATTGTAAGTATTTAGGACATCTTGACATCTCACTCTGCCCCTCCCCCTCCCTCCTAAGATACTCCTACACCCTCCCCTATACCTATCTCTCCTACATCTTACTTCCCTACTTTTTCTTCCTCCCTTCCTCAGTCAAATTCTTTTGCCATTCTAAATTCAGACACTCTCATCTCTACTGCAGCTCCAGCACCTTCCCCTCTCCCCACCGCACTACCCGCAGCAGACAGACTAAACATTCCACCCCCTCTTTCTCCTACCACACACTCACCTCCACCTAAATTTGCCTCTACTCCTCAGACACCAGTCTCCTCTCCCCCCCCCCCCCTCATTAGAAGACCTTTGTCTCACAAAACTCCCCAACCTTTACAAAAACTCTTGAAGATATTCAAAATTGTCTACTCAAGTCCCAGACACTGACACTGAAATCCCTCATCCACCCTCAAATTCCACAACTCCTGTGCCCTCTACACTCAAAGTGATTGATTGCCAATATCCATCCTCCTCCTACTCATACTCCACCTACACCCCTTCCTCCTACTCCCTCCTAACACAGTCCATCCCCCCTAGCTCCAGCTCCACCTACATTAACCCTCCCTCCATCCCCTCTATCCCTTCCACTCCTTCCTGGATACACACATGAATCCCTTATGTCACAACTATGCCCTTCCCCTGATCCTCCATCTCCTGATACAACACTACCTCCCCTCTCTCATGCTTTATCTCACCCTCTAGCTCCTTCCCCTTCAAATTCTCCAACATGCACTGTAATCGTTATCATTCATAGATCAACTAAAGTATAGCTCTCTTACTTTGAAATGTATAATATAATGTGAAGTTATTCATTCTCTTTTTCTTCAAAAGTGTAAATCTTAACCCAAATGCAATGGGCATAGCTTGTATTACATGCCATGCCCACTGTGAGTTTACTTTATTAATTGTTTTTACCTATAGATGGCTACACTTTAGCCAATGAGCTAATTACGAGTACTGTCTGTCATGCCTGGTTACCCTTTTCCTTGATTTTTGAAAATATTTTACATTATTTTATATTGCTGTTACTAATGTCTATAACATTATAGTAATTATAATGTCTATAATAAAAATAACACCATCAATATTCATAGCATTAGTAAGAAAATAAACGTTTTTTTTTCACAGCAATTCAAGGAAAGGTGAAATTAGGTAAGATCACAAGGTCTGCTTATTGACTCCTTTGTGGCTAAGCACTTGTAGTGCAATCTATGTGCAGACATATTTCACAAAAAAATAAGAAGTGAACACAGCATTTTCCTGGCGGCATTGAGTTAAATCCAACCTTTATGTGGTATAGTGTTATGGTAGATACCAAGGCCTCTGTAGCTTTAGTGTTTTAGATAAGGACATCAAACCTCCACAGTGTATATTCAGGTAGTATAGAGTTTCAACTTATTACTCATTTAATTATGAAATGTCAATGATGTCTACTGCACATGGTGGAGGTTTATTTGTATTTATAGAAATGTGGTTATGAGGATTGCAGATACAAATTTATTGCCTTTTTAATCAATCTGCAATTAATAATTTAGCTGTTTATTTGTTTCTTTTTCAACCTGTTTTTAATGCCTGTTACTGTAATTCCATATCAAAGAGCTTCAAATTGCCAAAGATATGGCTCTGGGTATTCACCTTTAAACATTAAATGAACTGTATTGTAACTAGAGCATAAGTTTAATGCAATAAAAGTTTGAAGTCTTTTTTTTTTATCTCTTTCTCTCTCTCTCTCTTTCCCCAGCAGACATGACGATTCACAGTCTTTATATCCTGAGCAAGTCTGGGGGTCTGATATACCAGCTGGATCACAACATTCCAACCATAGAAAATGAAAAAACATTTAGCTTTCCTCTTGAAGTTAAACTTGAGGTGCAGAACAGAAACATCATGGTCGTGTATGGTCAGCGTGATGGGATTAAAGGTAAAGTTGCCATTCAGATAATAATGTTCATCTTGTTTTGCAAAATCTCTTTGATGGTTTCTTATCTCTTGTTAATAAGGAAGCAACAAGTAAAGAAGAGATTTTAACAGTGTGTGTGTGTATAGAAGGCTTTGTCTTCATGCTAGCTCCCATATTGTGTAATAAATCTTGAGTTGATTTTCCTCACAGTTGGACACACATTAGTGTCTGTGAATGGCATGAAGGTGACAGGCCAACAACTTGATGACGGACGTGATGCCATGCAGGTTCTCGCTAATGAGGGAAACTATCCTATTAACCTGAAGTTTGCACGACCCAAGTTGACTACAAACGAGAAGATTTTCCAGGTGAGTGGTTGTAAGTTCTTTGAAGGAGGTTAATTTTTCATTATGCCATTGAAGACTTTCATTTACGGTCTACCTTTTATTTGCCATTCTGGGCAGACTAGCCAGGATGGACAAAATGTGAAGACTGAGCAAATGAATCAGTGAATGACAATGTAGATTCATGTATTTTTTCTTTGCAGGCATCAATGTTTTATCCTCTTTATGCACTGGCTTGTCAACTAAGCCCAGAGACAAGAAGTTCAGGGATAGAGACGATTGAAAGTGACAACTTCAGGATGAACTGCTTCCAGACACTAACAGGTAAAAGGAATCCCTGTTATTGATTTTTGATGCTAAGCTTCAGCATGAAACTTTAGAAATCACTTTGTATATTTATTTATTTTTATTTTTATTTTTTCAAACTTGTTATGTTGTTTGCTAAATATTGTGATTCTTATAGATTACCTGTTTTCTAAGTTAGTTTTATTTGCATTTTAGAGGTTTCATTGAGTGTTGAAAAAAAAGAGCTCCTCTGTGTATATCGTCTCTTAAATAGTTTTAAATAGTAGTAGCTGAATAATAAAGAAGTTGTATAACTAATAGAAGTCTTAAGCTCAACAAGAAGGTACAGAAACCAGTGTGAAATGTATTTAGGAAAAGAAAATGAACAGAAATATTGCATTTTAATTTAGCTTCAATTTTTTTAAGTGTCACATATCAAAATCCTATCTAGAAATGTAAAATATTATTAAACCTATTCAACCTCTTCAAACATGTTAACCACTATTTAGTTATTAAACTAAAGAAGCAACTTTCAGTGTATTTGTGTAAACTCCACTAAATCAGGGACATTTTTTAGAGGGAGGTAAGCTTTTCTCTTCTCTAGTGATCAGGAAGTTATATTATTGCTGTGCTTTAAAGTCTTTTGGCACCTATTTTTAAGTACAGTTGCTTAGTTCGGCTGTAGATCTCAGGCTACGCTCCTTAGGCATAAGAGATCACGTTTTATTATTTCCTTCACTAATTAGATTAGATAGTGTAGGCCTGTAAATTTTTTTTTAACAGAAAAATATGACCCATATGAGTTATGACTGGATATAAAAAGATGCATCAGTTTTATAAACAGAATATGTTTTCAGATAATTTTTATATAACTAAAGTTACTTCAACCTACATTTCCTCATTTACTTTTCAGGAGTGAAGTTTATGCTTATCTCCGACCCCAAACAAGCAGGCATAGATACCCTTCTCCACAGAGTATATGAAATCTACTCCGACTTTGCCCTCAAGAACCCCTTCTATTCCCTCGAGATGCCCATAAGATGTGAACTCTTCGACGAACACATAAAATCTACTCTCGAACAGGCGGAGAGATTAGGAATAAGCAGTATATGAACTGTATGGTATGTTTCTATTGATGAAAGCAACATGTATATCACCACATGGTAAAGGTTTATGGTTTTCATCTTCATGACTGTAATAGTTGTGTACTAGAAGGGAACTTGTGTGTACATCTTTTTCATGCAGATGTGATTTATTGTGTATAAAGTGAATATTCTGGTACTGAGCAGTATATATAGGAAGATATGCCCGCTGTCTGTATTATATAAAAATCTTTCTTGATCGTAAATGCTGACTCCACAATGGCTGATTGGAGTTACCATGGTGAAATAATATAATTTTCATATAATATGTGATTGTTATTTAGAAAAATAAAGGAAAATGAAAGTAGGCTGTATATTTCCACATATATATTTTTTTTTCTTTCTTTTTTACTTTAGTGATTGCAGTTTGGTAATAGTGATGTATATTTTGATAAGTTATTTCAGGTTAGATTTAATCATGAAAGTGTTGAAAAGAAATATCTAAATTATATACACGTTTTCTTAACCTATTGTGCTTTAACCCATTCGCCACATTTGGCAAGAATAGATGCCATACCCACTTTGAGACACGTTTATTTATTGTATTTACACATAGATGGCTCCACAAGTTCTTAATCACCAAACAGCCAGTTATCAAGAACTACCTATTTCACCTGTTTACCCTTTTCCTTCACTTTTGAAAAGGTTTTTTTTTTGTATCATTTCATTGTCTAAAATATTCTTGTGACAATTTGGTAATCATAACATCAATAACAATAATAACAGTATCGATAGCAATGGTATTAATTTTCCCGCCAATGCAAAGAATGGGAAAATCAGGGTCGGTAACTAGCGCCTACTGATAGACTCCTTGCCGACTGAGTACATGTGGAGCCATCTGTATGTAACATAATTCACTAAAAACTACAGGGGACAGAACATAAATCCGTGGCGAATGGGTTAATAATGTTTAAATTTATTTGAAGGTTTATTGAACAGGAATTGTCCATCTTGGCACGTCTGTTATATTTTTTGAGACTATTTATCTTCTTTTCTTTTTTTTTAAGTTAAAATTAGGACATGCACTTTATAAAAATTATTTACAGACATTTTTTTTTTCCTAATTAAGTTGTAAACTCTATGTTATCCCAGATTAATCATAATTTCAGTCGTTCAGACAAGTTCAAATTTAAGACAAATGCTGATGAATTTCAAACAAATAGTGTTTAGAAATTAACATACACACAAGGGATTGCTTGATCCTTTTTGAGGACCAATATAAGGTAAATTGCATTTGTTTTCTATATCCCTTGTTATATCAGTAAATACACAAATTCAATTACTTGTTGATTGATTTTCCCCAAATATTTGTATTTCTATTCTGGTAAAAGTTTTTTAGCATTTACTGGTGCTTATGACATATTCGAGAGAAACAAATATTTAAACTTTTTATAAATCATTCATATTTCGATGATCAAGTATAGAAAACAAAATTTTTGTTTTTTTATGTTTCAGAAAAGTAATGAGAAAATATAACCCATGCATTATTATGAGGGGAAGTAAACAGCTACAGTGAAAATGAAGTAGATACCCATAATTGACTCTGGTGATATATTAACCCATTTGTGATGGGGAAAATGAATAAAAATGAGGAAAATGCTGTGCCCATTTTTTATATTTTTTGTAATATGTCCCTACACATAGATGATGACATAGTGTGATTTTACCTTTCCTTGAAATGGCAGGAAAATGTATTTTTTACTAGTGCTATGAATATCAATGGTGTTATTTTTATTATAAACATTATTATTACTATAATGTTATAAACATTGGTAATAGCAAACTAAGATAACAAAACATTTTCGTAAATTAAAGAAAAGGGTAAACAGGCGAGACAGGCAGTACTTTTAATTGGCTCATTGGTGACTTAGTACAAGTGTAGCCATGTATGTGTAAAAACAATTTAACAAGTAAACTCACGGTGGGCATGTCACGGATATTTGACATCCCGTCACAAATGGGTTAACTTGACAGCAGCCAGATTTAAATGAATGTGAAATGAATAGTAAACCACACTGTTTAGTAATAGGAAAGTAATCTATGGAAGATTTAGGGGTGTCAAAATGTTAGTGTTGACAAAATATAATAAAGTACTGTTAGTCATGAACTATCACACACATCAGATCATTTGGGCTTTTCATTTTGTATGTTTGTTGAATTTTCAGCTGGGTGGGGTAAATTTCCTCCCTTCTACGCAGCCCCAAACTCACAAAAAGAAAATCAGTACATTTTTTTTTTTTTTTTTTGTCCACTTCATCAATTTTTAGCCCCACTTAAGGTTCAGTTCTCATAAGGATATTGGAAACATTTTAGAAAATTTATCATACACCAGTTTCATATCTTCGTACAACAATAGCTGTTCATAGATAAGAGGGCAGAGTATTTTATGATATTTAAACTATGGAAATTATAACATTCTGAAAATTAGTTATCAATATAGACTCTTTTCAATTACAATTTTCTTGGAATAATTATTTTGCTCAAAGGGGAAAAGAATACCTTAGTAGACAATTAATTCATATCCTGGTATATAATCAAAAAGGCACTGAATTTGCTCATAAAATTATATAGGCTTCTTGAATTTTGATGTCACTTATTTTTGGCAATTATCTTATGTAAGAAGAAAATAATGAAGCAAGTTTTAAAAATCTCCTTCATAGTTTAACATGCATTTTTTATCACATTTTTTATTAAAGTTGCCTTAACATGGAGGTTTTATATACTGAATGTTGTATTTTTGAAACATTTGATTTTATTCTGAGAGGGATTTCTAGGAGATTCATGTTCACTGATAATGGATGTTAATAAAATACTTGTATGTTCAAAGAATACAAGAATATATAGACAGAGAGAGCGAGAGAGAGAGAGAGAGAAAAGAAATCCTACCTACAAACTTTATTTAGATATATCATGTGACATGAACCTTATTTTTTTCATTTGGTCAAAATAATGTTAGCATGGAGTTAAAAAATATTTTTCTTACACTTCTTGTGCTTATAGGGTATAAGAAAACATCATGTATGGAGTCTATATATTTGAGTAATAAGGGAGTTTTCTTGAGTTTTGGAAATAACACTACTATTGAGTAAGCAGCATAAAATAAAGGCTGAAAAGGAAATGAAATAATAAATGATGTTTGCAGTATGGCACTTGAAACCAGAAATCAGGATGCATACATCAAAGAAGACATTTAATACTGATACAAAGGCAATTGTAAATCAGAGTTTCTATCTGTGCCATTGGACTGAAATATGGAAAGCAATGAGCAATGATATCTTCTGTACATAATAAAAAAGTGTAATAATATTCAATCTGTAATGGAAACTATTCATAAATGTAAGTCCATAGTACATGATATAATATATGTTCTTGTCAATTTTAACTCTTTTTCTGAGAAATACTTACATTGCCTTCTCAGAAACACACCAGAATTAAGGATATGCTTAGTAGCTATAAACCTTAAAATGCATATACTAATTCTTACATTTTTTGAGGGTTTAAATTTTGCTCTTACAGATATGTGAATAACGGAAAGCAATTATTTTTTTTCATTTTATGAATTTGTAAGTACATGGGTCATCTGAGCTTGTTCTTATAAGTGACTATACAACACTAAAATATTGATTGTAATCTATCATTTATAATACAACATAATCACTAACATATAAGGCATTTAGTTACAATATACTCCTTAAAGGCACCATTACATTTAGAGTTATCAACAAAGGTATCTTTTTCATACAGAAAGTACACAGTTTATGAAAAATATACGTACATACTATTCAACATCATATAAACATTATCTGTTACCACCATGCTGAGTTTGATCACAGTTGCCAATCACAAATCACCTTATAATCTAAAAATTTCTATATTTTCCATACCATTTTTCCATACTGAAGTGACAATCAAGAATTTAAACTGAAATAGGTGATTATGTTACAGACTGCAGTACTTAAAGTGAACTTTTAATTACTTCATTTTACAAGAACAATTATCCCTTGACTTGAGGCACCTCTATTCAATACCATAAGCTTATCTACTGAAAACTACATTCAGTACAGTAATTGCATTAGCTGTGGTATACATATTAGCTGTAGTACATTTCATTTTGTATCAAATACATTTTTAAATATATACACACCTTCATACAGAAGATTTTATTTTTACAGAATAGGTAATTCTGAGGAAGAAAAAAGTGTAACCCATATCGTGTGATGAATTTCTTTCACATATTTACACACCTCACACTCAATATTATGCAGAGTCACTTGAAGTCCAGGAGCTATTTAGCTATTTCACTATACTTTCTCCTTTAGCAACACTACAGAGTACTGTCTCATATTCTAAAATACTGACATAGTAATCATTATTTATTGTCGACCACGTTACTAATTTGACTGGTTGCATTGCATGACATTTTTGTGTTATTCATGTTTCAAATGTAAATGGCCTTATGATCCACTTTTGCTTTATAAAACGGCAGTTGGTACCTTTCTCGTTACGGTTCTTCCGTGAATGTGAAGGTGATATGTATGGCTATGGCAGCATATAATTGCACATCGCTTGGGCTGGACCTCTCATGGGGACGTCGTGTTTCACAGAGGCAGTGGGAGAGGTCGCTTTAGGCCGAGTCATGAGGATTTCTCATGAATCTTCATTTACAAAAGCAGTTCTATGAGAATAAAGAATGCCTTTCTTTATCAAGAACTTTGAATATTGAGGTTATTTTTTTTATTGTGTGTTTTTAATCATATTAAGGACAGATGAAAAGTGTGTTGTTGTTGTTTTTTTTTGTAAAATATATAGGTATACGTATATAATCTGCACAGTCATTAAAGAAGAAATCGTTCCAGTTTAGCAAACACTGTCAGTAGCAAATGGAACCGCAGGATCTGTCAGGGAACCGCACTCGGGTCTCGCGTACCAGCCTGGGGTGTCTCGACGCCCTCCGCTTCTCCGACGGGGAACGCGCCTCGGGGAACCTGGGGGCGCAGACGAGTCGTCGCTTGTGTCCCCGTGCACCTGCGTGGGCCTGACCGGGATGGCTGCAGGACCCCACGGGATGCCCAGGTGTTCAGGCGAAGGGGCGTCGCGTCTGGGAGAAGGACAGGTGTGGTTGGGCTGTGTCTTCGAGGTCGCGTGGCCGTTCGCCGGGTGCTCCTTCAGGCCCTCGCGGAATCGCCGGGGGACGCAGCGCGCCGTTAGGCTATGCACCTGCGAAGGGAGTCGGAGAACTGCTTTAATTCCTGAAGTGATATAACTATTATAGTTCAAATCATATTTCGTGCAGTCTACTCTGCCTCTTTCCCTTTTAGAGGAAAATAATACGGATACTTATCCACGAAAAAAAAGAAATACAAAGTACGAAATCTAAAATTCTGAATAATTTTACTGCTACGTTATATGAATATATTCTTACTCTACCAGTCTAGCAAATTTACTCACATTAGATTACATATTCATCATAAATTTCCTCTTACACCATCTTCCATTATTTAAAAATATAAGCTGCATGTAAAGACAAGAAAGAAACGGCTCAATCTCCTGAGAATAAACCAGCAATCAACACAGAAATCACAATTGACATAAAATAACGAAAATCATGTTTGAGCAAATCATTGAAAACATAGACATTATAACGTATTATTTGTCATCTATGTGATTGTGCAACGTTTATGTTGTGACTTTATGCAAGGTCTATATGAGTACTTACATTCTCTCTATTTATGTTAATTAAAAGGTTGGGCAATGTGTGTGTTTTTAGCTATAATTAATTTAATGTTAGGCGTGCGGGTGGATAGATTGACTGTATTGATTTTTGTAATGTTATATTTTAATAATTATCATTGTGAGCTAAAGTGATGGTATACATAATATTCTGTATTCTGTGTGTGTCTGAGCATAAGTGTGTGCTTGTGAAAGATACGTTTAATAAAGAAAAAAAAATAGTATGCCCATATTAAAGCTTTTAGAGTTTTATGTGTTTTAAAAAATCATGAACAAAACAAATATAAACCCAAAGCTGAAAAAAAGAATAATCAAAATATCAATTAAGAAAATAAGATGATCAAATATTGTAAAATAGGACAGAAATACAGTAACATAAAATCTCAAACATCTGTCAAGAAATAACATACTGTAAAGGCAAGCAAGCAACAGTCCAGTCAGAACAGTGTCACAATCCCACAGTCACGTAAAGATGTCATAGCGTCACGTACACAGAGACAATCAGAATAGTACTTAGAGGTGTGCAGAAGTAACGAGTACAGTAATACAGTAGGAGATGTGAAATCATTCAAGAGAGGTGCAACATTATACGTTTGAAAACCCAACATATTGGTAGCAAGTGGGTGCATTAATGAAAAAAGAACATGAGAGAAATCATATCCATACATAAAGATAATGAAGTATGTGTTCATGTGTAGAAAAATACCATAATATTCACATAATGGCGCTTAACATTACAGGAATATTGAGACCAACAGATAGCACAGAGAAATACATATGACCGAAAATTTCTTCCATTCAGCATAAAATCAATCAACACAAGATGAATTCAAACCATACCAGCACCAATAGGGGGAAATCTTGAATTCGAATATGTCCATACACAATATGCAATCAACAGGTAGATGAGTATATATTTTGCAAGCAGTTCCATCAAGACCAAATTTCAAGATATTTGTAGTTCGTTTTCATAAAGCAGGAAATTCCCACGAAATGGACGTTCGCATTTCACATCTTAGCAGGTCTTTCAGATTTCAGATGTTTTTGTTTTTTTTTGTGTGGTATAACATAAAAAAAATATAGCAAGGATGAGATAGTAATTCGTGTATCAACTACATTTCTTTAATTTACGCAATAACCTATAGCAATCATTATTTAGAACTACCCTGTCGTTTAACAGAAAAACAATAAATAAACAATATACAAAGTAAAGCCCTCTATAAAAATGTTCATATTCAAATAAGTTCTTCAAATTGCATATATTATATCATGAAGTTCAATGAAATCTGAAAGACACTGCAAGTGAAAAAACCCAACATCAACCGACAGGCCCACGATTGACTGATCCGGTGTACAGTAGTACCTCATTCTCTTGACCCCTTTCTCATTCATGCACGTGTGCCTCTAGTCGCACAGTACCCTGGGCTCGGGGCTGTCCTTGCCGATGGTGTCCACACTGCTGGTTGACTTCGACTCTGTTGAAATGGCTGACTGGACAAGGTCAGCGTCACTCAGCGTCAGGTCGACTCCCTCGTCATAGGAGTACTGCGGTCCTAGCTTCGTTTTATGCAAAGGGGCGTCTGTGAAAGTGGGGGAAGTGGTGACGGCTGTTGGGGATATGACTGTCCCGTCGGGGGAGAGGGAAGGTTTTCTCTTGACCGGTGAGAAGGGAGAGTTAAGGGGCACGGAGGCAGCCGTTATGCTTTTCTTTCTTTGCCCGGTTCTTCGGTTACTGCTGCTTCCGCACCGGGATCCATGGACGATCATTTTTGTGAGGGACAGAGGATCGCACATGGCATCTTCCTCACTGCTTTCATCTGACGAGGGCGGTGCAGGAGGGGGGACAGAAGGGGGCGCTTCTGTGAGAGAGATGACTGTAACATGAGGTCCCCTTGATTCCGCCTCACTCACCTGCACCGAGTTGTCATTTGTGTCTTCGGAGTTTACCTTCGGCCGACTCTGTGACCAGTGGTTATCCATTTCAATAGGAATCACTTGGGAATATTTCACCGCTGGATTGCTGGCAGAGACTAAATCTTGATTTGTCAAAGATGCTGTTGTATTTAGTTCTTTGGAATATCCTTTGCTTGTGTTCCTATTTTCTGATGGTGGATAATAGTGTGCGTCACTATAAGAAGGATACTTTGTAGGCGAGTAGCCACTATCCTCACTGTCTATGTTAATGATACTGGCATAGAAAAGAGAATTCGAAGGGCTGTCTAAAACATTAATGACTGTTCTGTTATCTTCTCCTTCATAAACTGAATTTCCATTTCTATCTTTGTTCGTAACATTGCCGTTCATTTTCTTGTCGAATGGCTTTGCACTTTGTGTGAGAACGGGCTTTTCAGGGGGTACACTGCCAGAGGTAGGAGCCCTTGTATTTTTGGAATTTGTCTTTGAACTTCTGGGGAGATCCTGCTGAAGCTTCAGTGCCCTCGAGTCTGGCTGGTCGAAGGAGTTGGCTTTGCTGGGAACTACAGACGGTTTAAGTGGAATGCTTTCATGGCCTCTGGATCTATGCACGGACACGGGCTCTTCAACAGAAATGATTTTTGCAGAATTTGAATGCATTTTTGGGTATTGTTCGTTGTCAGAGAGAGTTATGATAGTTTTGTTTGCAATCTCCTTTGAATCTTTTGTGGGTTGTTTCAGAGGTCTCTCTTCTCCATTGCTCTTCTTATCAGAATATAATTTCAAAAGGTCTGAAATACTTTTAGCTTTTGCCAGTGGCTTTTTGTGTGCGTCGGTCGGTTCTTCAGTGGTGTCTTCTTCAAGTCCCTTTGCACTGTCTGGGGTCGACGCATAAGACCCAGCTTCAATATGTTCCAAGAAATCCTTTACCTTAGTATTGTCAAGAACCACATCTGGCGACGGCAGTTCATTTGTACTTGTTGTTTGGTTTGGTTCAATTTGGATTTGTTCTCGAGCGTTTTTCTCTGACAGATCGGACGCGGTTCCAACATATTCCATCGAGTTCTTTACTCTTTGGTCATCAACAACATTTGGTGAAAGTGGTTCTTCAAGGCTGGTTCCTTCGGCCAGCTTCCCTCGCACTTGTTTGCGTGACTGCGCAAATTCCCTCTGCATCAGCTCCTGTTCATAGCTTTGCTGAGTTGGTTCTTTACGGAGTAGGTCTTGCGAACCGAATAATTCTTTCTTTGAAATTCTGCTTGGCGGTCTTCCAGCTTTGGTTTCCATGTCTGTGTAAAGCTTCAATAAATCAGATACACTTTTTGCCCTCTCCATAGGCGTTTTTGTGGTATCATCTTGTTCTGGAGCGTCCGAGGTAATTGTGCTGTCAGACATACTGGATTCATCGTCAGATTCGTGCTGGACATTCTTGTCTCCCTGACCAGTATCTTCTTCATGAGAGGGATATTCATTCTCGGAAATGTGGCTCGTGGGTGACAGAGAGTTCTGATACGCAACGGGTGGTGGTGACTCGATAGCATTTGTTCTTTGTGTTTGTTCAGTTTCTAGAACAGAAGTTTCATGTTTTGGTGCTACCTCCTGAACTGGCGGTATGTCTCTGCTCTGAGGCAAATTCTGCTCTTCGTGGAAACTGTGACGGTTCCATGCAGGTGCGGACGTCATTCGCTGCAGAGGGACGTGTCCATTCCTCTGGTTATTCCACTCTTCCTCAACTTTTTCCTCAATCCTGTTAATCTCACTCAAGGACGTTTGCCTCTGATAACTCTTCAGGAAATCGCGCATTGATCTTTTGCGTCCCTTTGGCGCAAATGCTATGCTGGGCATCGCAGCGAGGTTCGGCATGCTCTTTTGCCGGGAGTTTGCATTCAGGGGTTGGAGGGGAGGAAGCGCCTGCAGAGACGTCTTCCGGACTGGTTGACTGGCTCCAGCAAATTCACTTTCTGACATAAGGTTCAAGGTGCTGCTGTACCTCCTTTGCTTGCTGGCTTCTTGGGGATATTTTTCAGACAAATCTGTCATGCTCTGATACTCCTGTCTTGCTTTGTCATCAATTTTGATAATGGTTACTTGCCGGAGGGCGTTGGGGGCATCCGAATCGCTGTCCGTTTCCGAAACCGGAATTCTTTCGTGACGCAAATCAACTGAGCTGGAATAAGAGCTCTGGCGATCATAGTGGCCGTTATGCCAAGAAGAATCGTCATTTGTTCGACCTGAACTGCTGGACACGGACGACCTTCTGCTCCCGGACCAAGGACTGACCTTCCGCAGCGTCACCCCGAAAATGGTCTTGGCCTCCTCGCCGGGGGAGGCGTGGCCCTGGTCCCTAGAGTCCAGTGAATAGCAAGAGTCGGAGTCTAAGAGGCTGGAAGTGCTGTAGCTGAGTCCCCCACTGAGCGAGTGGGGCGTCGGAGGCAAGCTGACACTGGTCACTGTGGCCTGATCGTCAAACTCAGAGTCGTCATGATCAGTAAAGTAAGTGTCAGTGTCAGAGGCGGGTTGGGGGTCGTGTGTGGTGTTCGATCTGTTGGACAAAGACCTTACCTCCTTAACGTTATAAGTCTTCTCGGTTCTCTTGTTGAGGTTGTTGGTGAGGTTCCGGATGTACGGCGGGTCAGTTGGGGAGGATTTCTCAATGAAGATGTTCTTCTTTCCATTAAATGCAAGAGAACCCTGTTTAGCAGAGAAGAGGACTGAGTACTGCAAGTATGTAGATCAAATTAAAAATTCTAAACTACTTCAAATACATCTCAATATCCAGAAAAAAACAACAACATAATAACATGAAAGGGAAATGACGCAATGCACTCACATCTTTCCCATGTTTATCTAAGTCGTTGACCCTCTCTCTGCTCGCGACGTCGAACTTCGAGGCCAACTTCCTGACCGACGGCAGCACGGGGACCTTGTCGGGCGTGCTCGTGGACACGTCGCTGTCGTTGCCGTCGCCGTGGCTCTCGCCGTCGCTGTAGCCGCTCATGCTCTCGACCGACTGCCCGTGCGCCGGGTGGGACTGGTAGGTCGTCGCCGCCTTGCTCCCGCCGCAGTTGTTGCTCAGGTTGATGTTACTCAGGCTACTCACTGTGTTCATACTACTCTGGCGGGGGTTGGGGCCGAGCGGGCTCAGGTTGGACACCTTCGTCGACGGCCTGAGGTTGTCGACGCTGGTGTGGCGCAGGAGAGGCTGCAGCGTCGGCCTGTCTCTCGCCGGCTCGCCGAGGGTGTCCACGCTCACTGTCCGCCACAGATCATGCCGAGGAGGCACCAGGTAGGCAGCTGCAACGGAAACAAAAGGATCAGTGGATTGTCCATTGGGTTTTTGGCGATCTACCTGTGCATCTCACTA